TGTAGGAAGAACTTTCAGCGGACGATTTGATGCATGTTCTCGGATCACCACAGGATGTGTGTATGCCAGGCGAACTTTCTCACCTCTCACCACTAGATATAGAGCAAGTGCTCGGAATTCCCGAGCAGGGTGGGCTCGACAACGCTCCCACAGTCGACGACCTCACATTAAGCAGGATTCTAGAGGCGGAATTTCATTTTTCGAGGTGCTGCCGTCCCTAACACCTGGGCGGCAACCGCTAATGACTTCATTAGCACAAATTTAAAATGGCTGAGGAAATTTTCATTATTTCAAATTAAATTTATTGACAGAAGAAAGAATCCTAATTATACTGAAGAAGATCATAAAGTTTTTATGAGCTGGGACCGGGTAAAAGGACATAAAGTTGGTAAGTCCACAACTTATTTCAAATCAAGCAAAGCCCGGTTCAGAAAAGCCCTGCATAAAATAAAAGAAATTAAAGAGGAGAAATCAATTTTGATTATTTATTATATATTTTTAAATGCAGGCAATTATTTCACCAATTTCTTGGCCTGGCACTTCTGCTGGGCCCTGTTCGCGGGACAGTGCTTCTGGTGGGATTTCCACGTTGCCAAGTCTCGTACTTGACACAGCGGAAATCACGCCTGCGCGGTCACATGACTCGGGGACCAGCGGCGAGCCACGCGGCCCGGCGATCGACCAGGTTATTGCACCCATGTCTGTTTGGTCACGTGACATGCGTCCTTGTTCTGCCACTCGTCTCGACGAGTTTGGCCATCTTATTGCGCATGTTTCTGCACACGTTGTCACGTGACCAGGTTTGTTTACCTCCTGGTAATAACAACCAGGTCGCTGATGCACACTGTGTAACACGTGACACAAACACGATGCTCTGGTGGTAAGCCCATCTGACACCACACGCCTACCAGGTTCTCACACAAATGTGACACATGTACACAACCTTGCCCCTGCTCTTTGTGATCCGTTTAGGATGCCGTTCCAGCTACCTGAGGTCTTTAAATGTCCCGAGTGTTACGGGATGGCGAGAGTAACCCGCAGTGGTGTCTACAAGCAGCACAACGATCTGGTGAAGCACCTTCGTGTTCTACACAAGATCAACAACGTGGTTTTTGACTGCACGGTCTGCCAACAAAGCTTCAAAGACCTGCAGAAACACCACCAGGATTGCTCTACGGTTGAAAAACTGGCCCAAAAGAGCGCACCATCTACGAGGAGCAAGAAGACACCAGGAAGCGACACCGCGGCCCTGGAGGAGCCAGAACACTCGACTCAGCCAGCGGCCCAGGAGCCGTTTTCTTCCAACATTATTGTATAATGATTTCCTAAGAAAACATCTTAATCTTGGAAATTTTGGGAAAAAATTGAAATGGCTGAAGAAAAATATAATATTTCAAGTTAAATATATTGACACAAGAAAAAATACTACCTATACTAAAGAAGATCATAAAGTTTTTATGAGCTGGGACCGGGTAAAAGGACATAAAGTTGGTAAGTCCACAACTTATTTAAATCAAGCAAAGCCCGGTTCAGAAAAGCCCTGCATAAAATAAAAGAAATTAAAGAGGAGAAATCAATTTTGATTATTTATTATATATTTTTAAATGCAGGCAATTATTTCACCAATTTCTTGGCCTGGCACTTCTGCTGGGCCCTGTTCGCGGGACAGTGCTTCTGGTGGGATTTCCACGTTGCCAAGTCTCGTACTTGACACAGCGGAAATCACGCCTGCGCGGTCACATGACTCGGGGACCAGCGGCGAGCCACGCGGCCCGGCGATCGACCAGGTTATTGCACCCATGTCTGTTTGGTCACGTGACATGCGTCCTTGTTCTGCCACTCGTCTCGACGAGTTTGGCCATCCTATTGCGCATGTTTCTGCACACGTCACGTGACCAGGTTTGTTTACCTCCTGGTAATAACAACCAGGTCGCTGATGCACACTGTGTAACACGTGACACAAACACGATGCTCTGGTGGTAAGCCCATCTGACACCACACGCCTACCAGGTTCTCACACAAATGTGACACATGTACACAACCAAGAAACAGAAGAAAACCTTTTTGTTTAATGACTTCATCAAAAAACATCTCAATCTTGAAACTTTTGGGCAAAATTTAAAATGGCTGAAGAAATTTTAATTATTTCAAATTAAATTTATTGACAGAAGAAAGAATCCTAATTATACTGAAGAAGATCATAAAGTTTTTATGAGCTGGGACCGGGTAATGAGATTTGAACCTAGCAAAACAAAAAAAAAAAAAAAAAAAAACATTAGAGCAATGGAGTTAACCAATACGCTAATGTTTTTTTCATTTGGAATGGAATTAACCTGATATATATATTTATTATTTTTTTTTTTAGGTGTCTACGCTTGGAGGCAAGTGCGCTCAATTAATTGGAACAATATCTCGGACCATCGGGAGATATCTGTATGGAAGAACTTTCAGCGGACGATTTGATGCATGTTCTCGGATCACCACAGGATGTGTGTATGCCAGGCGAACTTTCTCACCTCTCACCACTAGATATAGAGCAAGTGCTCGGAATTCCCGAGCAGGGTGGGCTCGACAACGCTCCCACAGTCGACGACCTCACATTAAGCAGGATTCTAGAGGCGGAATTTCATTTTTCGAGGTGCTGCCGTCCCTAACACCTGGGCGGCAACCGCTAATGACTTCATTAGCACAAATTTAAAATGGCTGAGGAAATTTTCATTATTTCAAATTAAATTTATTGACAGAAGAAAGAATCCTAATTATACTGAAGAAGATCATAAAGTTTTTATGAGCTGGGACCGGGTAAAAGGACATAAAGTTGGTAAGTCCACAACTTATTTCAAATCAAGCAAAGCCCGGTTCAGAAAAGCCCTGCATAAAATAAAAGAAATTAAAGAGGAGAAATCAATTTTGATTATTTATTATATATTTTTAAATGCAGGCAATTATTTCACCAATTTCTTGGCCTGGCACTTCTGCTGGGCCCTGTTCGCGGGACAGTGCTTCTGGTGGGATTTCCACGTTGCCAAGTCTCGTACTTGACACAGCGGAAATCACGCCTGCGCGGTCACATGACTCGGGGACCAGCGGCGAGCCACGCGGCCCGGCGATCGACCAGGTTATTGCACCCATGTCTGTTTGGTCACGTGACATGCGTCCTTGTTCTGCCACTCGTCTCGACGAGTTTGGCCATCCTATTGCGCATGTTTCTGCACACGTTGTCACGTGACCAGGTTTGTTTACCTCCTGGTAATAACAACCAGGTCGCTGATGCACACTGTGTAACACGTGACACAAACACGATGCTCTGGTGGTAAGCCCATCTGACACCACACGCCTACCAGGTTCTCACACAAATGTGACACATGTACACAACCAAGAAACAGAAGAAAACCTTTTTGTTTAATGACTTCATCAAAAAACATCTCAATCTTGAAACTTTTGGGCAAAATTTAAAATGGCTGAAGAAATTTTCATTATTTCAAATTAAATTTATTGACAGAAGAAAGAATCCTAATTATACTGAAGAAGATCATAAAGTTTTTATGAGCTGGGACCGGGTAATAAGATTTGAACCTAGCAAAACAAAAAAAAAAAAAAAAAAAAAAACATTAGAGCAATGGAGTTAACCAATACGCTAATGTTTTTTTCATTTGGAATGGAATTAACCTGATATATATATTTATTATTTTTTTTTTTTAGGTGTCTACGCTTGGAGGCAAGTGCGCTCAATTAATTGGAACAATATCTCGGACCATCGGGAGATATCTGTATGGAAGAACTTTCAGCGGACGATTTGATGCATGTTCTCGGATCACCACAGGATGTGTGTATGCCAGGCGAACTTTCTCACCTCTCACCACTAGATATAGAGCAAGTGCTCGGAATTCCCGAGCAGGGTGGGCTCGACAACGCTCCCACAGTCGACGACCTCACATTAAGCAGGATTCTAGAGGCGGAATTTCATTTTTCGAGGTGCTGCCGTCCCTAACACCTGGGCGGCAACCGCTAATGACTTCATTAGCACAAATTTAAAATGGCTGAGGAAATTTTCATTATTTCAAATTAAATTTATTGACAGAAGAAAGAATCCTAATTATACTGAAGAAGATCATAAAGTTTTTATGAGCTGGGACCGGGTAAAAGGACATAAAGTTGGTAAGTCCACAACTTATTTCAAATCAAGCAAAGCCCGGTTCAGAAAAGCCCTGCATAAAATAAAAGAAATTAAAGAGGAGAAATCAATTTTGATTATTTATTATATATTTTTAAATGCAGGCAATTATTTCACCAATTTCTTGGCCTGGCACTTCTGCTGGGCCCTGTTCGCGGGACAGTGCTTCTGGTGGGATTTCCACGTTGCCAAGTCTCGTACTTGACACAGCGGAAATCACGCCTGCGCGGTCACATGACTCGGGGACCAGCGGCGAGCCACGCGGCCCGGCGATCGACCAGGTTATTGCACCCATGTCTGTTTGGTCACGTGACATGCGTCCTTGTTCTGCCACTCGTCTCGACGAGTTTGGCCATCTTATTGCGCATGTTTCTGCACACGTTGTCACGTGACCAGGTTTGTTTACCTCCTGGTAATAACAACCAGGTCGCTGATGCACACTGTGTAACACGTGACACAAACACGATGCTCTGGTGGTAAGCCCATCTGACACCACACGCCTACCAGGTTCTCACACAAATGTGACACATGTACACAACCTTGCCCCTGCTCTTTGTGATCCGTTTAGGATGCCGTTCCAGCTACCTGAGGTCTTTAAATGTCCCGAGTGTTACGGGATGGCGAGAGTAACCCGCAGTGGTGTCTACAAGCAGCACAACGATCTGGTGAAGCACCTTCGTGTTCTACACAAGATCAACAACGTGGTTTTTGACTGCACGGTCTGCCAACAAAGCTTCAAAGACCTGCAGAAACACCACCAGGATTGCTCTACGGTTGAAAAACTGGCCCAAAAGAGCGCACCATCTACGAGGAGCAAGAAGACACCAGGAAGCGACACCGCGGCCCTGGAGGAGCCAGAACACTCGACTCAGCCAGCGGCCCAGGAGCCGTTTTCTTCCAACATTATTGTATAATGATTTCCTAAGAAAACATCTTAATCTTGGAAATTTTGGGAAAAAATTGAAATGGCTGAAGAAAAATATAATATTTCAAGTTAAATATATTGACACAAGAAAAAATACTACCTATACTAAAGAAGATCATAAAGTTTTTATGAGCTGGGACCGGGTAAAAGGACATAAAGTTGGTAAGTCCACAACTTATTTAAATCAAGCAAAGCCCGGTTCAGAAAAGCCCTGCATAAAATAAAAGAAATTAAAGAGGAGAAATCAATTTTGATTATTTATTATATATTTTTAAATGCAGGCAATTATTTCACCAATTTCTTGGCCTGGCACTTCTGCTGGGCCCTGTTCGCGGGACAGTGCTTCTGGTGGGATTTCCACGTTGCCAAGTCTCGTACTTGACACAGCGGAAATCACGCCTGCGCGGTCACATGACTCGGGGACCAGCGGCGAGCCACGCGGCCCGGCGATCGACCAGGTTATTGCACCCATGTCTGTTTGGTCACGTGACATGCGTCCTTGTTCTGCCACTCGTCTCGACGAGTTTGGCCATCCTATTGCGCATGTTTCTGCACACGTTGTCACGTGACCAGGTTTGTTTACCTCCTGGTAATAACAACCAGGTCGCTGATGCACACTGTGTAACACGTGACACAAACACGATGCTCTGGTGGTAAGCCCATCTGACACCACACGCCTACCAGGTTCTCACACAAATGTGACACATGTACACAACCAAGAAACAGAAGAAAACCTTTTTGTTTAATGACTTCATCAAAAAACATCTCAATCTTGAAACTTTTGGGCAAAATTTAAAATGGCTGAAGAAATTTTAATTATTTCAAATTAAATTTATTGACAGAAGAAAGAATCCTAATTATACTGAAGAAGATCATAAAGTTTTTATGAGCTGGGACCGGGTAATGAGATTTGAACCTAGCAAAACAAAAAAAAAAAAAAAAAAAAAACATTAGAGCAATGGAGTTAACCAATACGCTAATGTTTTTTTCATTTGGAATGGAATTAACCTGATATATATATTTATTATTTTTTTTTTTAGGTGTCTACGCTTGGAGGCAAGTGCGCTCAATTAATTGGAACAATATCTCGGACCATCGGGAGATATCTGTATGGAAGAACTTTCAGCGGACGATTTGATGCATGTTCTCGGATCACCACAGGATGTGTGTATGCCAGGCGAACTTTCTCACCTCTCACCACTAGATATAGAGCAAGTGCTCGGAATTCCCGAGCAGGGTGGGCTCGACAACGCTCCCACAGTCGACGACCTCACATTAAGCAGGATTCTAGAGGCGGAATTTCATTTTTCGAGGTGCTGCCGTCCCTAACACCTGGGCGGCAACCGCTAATGACTTCATTAGCACAAATTTAAAATGGCTGAGGAAATTTTCATTATTTCAAATTAAATTTATTGACAGAAGAAAGAATCCTAATTATACTGAAGAAGATCATAAAGTTTTTATGAGCTGGGACCGGGTAAAAGGACATAAAGTTGGTAAGTCCACAACTTATTTCAAATCAAGCAAAGCCCGGTTCAGAAAAGCCCTGCATAAAATAAAAGAAATTAAAGAGGAGAAATCAATTTTGATTATTTATTATATATTTTTAAATGCAGGCAATTATTTCACCAATTTCTTGGCCTGGCACTTCTGCTGGGCCCTGTTCGCGGGACAGTGCTTCTGGTGGGATTTCCACGTTGCCAAGTCTCGTACTTGACACAGCGGAAATCACGCCTGCGCGGTCACATGACTCGGGGACCAGCGGCGAGCCACGCGGCCCGGCGATCGACCAGGTTATTGCACCCATGTCTGTTTGGTCACGTGACATGCGTCCTTGTTCTGCCACTCGTCTCGACGAGTTTGGCCATCCTATTGCGCATGTTTCTGCACACGTTGTCACGTGACCAGGTTTGTTTACCTCCTGGTAATAACAACCAGGTCGCTGATGCACACTGTGTAACACGTGACACAAACACGATGCTCTGGTGGTAAGCCCATCTGACACCACACGCCTACCAGGTTCTCACACAAATGTGACACATGTACACAACCTTGCCCCTGCTCTTTGTGATCCGTTTAAGATGCCGTTCCAGCTACCTGAGGTCTTTAAATGTCCCGAGTGTTACGGGATGGCGAGAGTAACCCGCAGTGGTGTCTACAAGCAGCACAACGATCTGGTGAAGCACCTTCGTGTTCTACACAAGATCAACAACGTGGTTTTTGACTGCACGGTCTGCCAACAAAGCTTCAAAGACCTGCAGAAACACCACCAGGATTGCTCTACGGTTGAAAAACTGGCCCAAAAGAGCGCACCATCTACGAGGAGCAAGAAGACACCAGGAAGCGACACCGCGGCCCTGGAGGAGCCAGAACACTCGACTCAGCCAGCGGCCCAGGAGCCGTTTTCTTCCAACATTATTGTATAATGATTTCCTAAGACATCTTAAACTTGGAAATTTTGGGAAAAAATTGAAATGGCTGAAGAAAAATATAATATTTCAAGTTAAATATATTGACACAAGAAAAAATACTACCTATACTAAAGAAGATCATAAAGTTTTTATGAGCTGGGACCGGGTAAAAGGACATAAAGTTGGTAAGTCCACAACTTATTTCAAATCAAGCAAAGCCCGGTTCAGAAAAGCCCTGCATAAAATAAAAGAAATTAAAGAGGAGAAATCAATTTTGATTATTTATTATATATTTTTAAATGCAGGCAATTATTTCACCAATTTCTTGGCCTGGCACTTCTGCTGGGCCCTGTTCGCGGGACAGTGCTTCTGGTGGTATTTCCACGTTGCCAAGTCTCGTACTTGACACAGCGGAAATCACGCCTGCGCGGTCACATGACTCGGGGACCAGCGGCGAGCCACGCGGCCCGGCGATCGACCAGGTTATTGCACCCATGTCTGTTTGGTCACGTGACATGCGTCCTTGTTCTGCCGCTCGTCTCGACGAGTTTGGCCATCCTATTGCGCATGTTTCTGCACACGTTGTCACGTGACCAGGTTTGTTTACCTCCTGGTAATAACAACCAGGTCGCTGATGCACACTGTGTAACACGTGACACAAACACGATGCTCTGGTGGTAAGCCCATCTGACACCACACGCCTACCAGGTTCTCACACAAATGTGACACATGTACACAACCAAGAAACAGAAGAAAACCTTTTTGTTTAATGACTTCATCAAAAAACATCTCAATCTTGAAACTTTTGGGCAAAATTTAAAATGGCTGAAGAAATTTTCATTATTTCAAATTAAATTTATTGACAGAAGAAAGAATCCTAATTATACTGAAGAAGATCATAAAGTTTTTATGAGCTGGGACCGGGTAATGAGATTTGAACCTAGCAAAACAAAAAAAAAAAAAAAAAAAAAAACATTAGAGCAATGGAGTTAACCAATACGCTAATGTTTTTTTCATTTGGAATGGAATTAACCTGATATATATATTTATTATTTTTTTTTTTAGGTGTCTACGCTTGGAGGCAAGTGCGCTCAATTAATTGGAACAATATCTCGGACCATCGGGAGATATCTGTATGGAAGAACTTTCAGCGGACGATTTGATGCATGTTCTCGGATCACCACAGGATGTGTGTATGCCAGGCGAACTTTCTCACCTCTCACCACTAGATATAGAGCAAGTGCTCGGAATTCCCGAGCAGGGTGGGCTCGACAACGCTCCCACAGTCGACGACCTCACATTAAGCAGGATTCTAGAGGCGGAATTTCATTTTTCGAGGTGCTGCCGTCCCTAACACCTGGGCGGCAACCGCTAATGACTTCATTAGCACAAATTTAAAATGGCTGAGGAAATTTTCATTATTTCAAATTAAATTTATTGACAGAAGAAAGAATCCTAATTATACTGAAGAAGATCATAAAGTTTTTATGAGCTGGGACCGGGTAAAAGGACATAAAGTTGGTAAGTCCACAACTTATTTCAAATCAAGCAAAGCCCGGTTCAGAAAAGCCCTGCATAAAATAAAAGAAATTAAAGAGGAGAAATCAATTTTGATTATTTATTATATATTTTTAAATGCAGGCAATTATTTCACCAATTTCTTGGCCTGGCACTTCTGCTGGGCCCTGTTCGCGGGACAGTGCTTCTGGTGGGATTTCCACGTTGCCAAGTCTCGTACTTGACACAGCGGAAATCACGCCTGCGCGGTCACATGACTCGGGGACCAGCGGCGAGCCACGCGGCCCGGCGATCGACCAGGTTATTGCACCCATGTCTGTTTGGTCACGTGACATGCGTCCTTGTTCTGCCACTCGTCTCGACGAGTTTGGCCATCCTATTGCGCATGTTTCTGCACACGTTGTCACGTGACCAGGTTTGTTTACCTCCTGGTAATAACAACCAGGTCGCTGATGCACACTGTGTAACACGTGACACAAACACGATGCTCTGGTGGTAAGCCCATCTGACACCACACGCCTACCAGGTTCTCACACAAATGTGACACATGTACACAACCTTGCCCCTGCTCTTTGTGATCCGTTTAAGATGCCGTTCCAGCTACCTGAGGTCTTTAAATGTCCCGAGTGTTACGGGATGGCGAGAGTAACCCGCAGTGGTGTCTACAAGCAGCACAACGATCTGGTGAAGCACCTTCGTGTTCTACACAAGATCAACAACGTGGTTTTTGACTGCACGGTCTGCCAACAAAGCTTCAAAGACCTGCAGAAACACCACCAGGATTGCTCTACGGTTGAAAAACTGGCCCAAAAGAGCGCACCATCTACGAGGAGCAAGAAGACACCAGGAAGCGACACCGCGGCCCTGGAGGAGCCAGAACACTCGACTCAGCCAGCGGCCCAGGAGCCGTTTTCTTCCAACATTATTGTATAATGATTTCCTAAGAAAACATCTTAATCTTGGAAATTTTGGGAAAAAATTGAAATGGCTGAAGAAAAATATAATATTTCAAGTTAAATATATTGACACAAGAAAAAATACTACCTATACTAAAGAAGATCATAAAGTTTTTATGAGCTGGGACCGGGTAAAAGGACATAAAGTTGGTAAGTCCACAACTTATTTCAAATCAAGCAAAGCCCGGTTCAGAAAAGCCCTGCATAAAATAAAAGAAATTAAAGAGGAGAAATCAATTTTGATTATTTATTATATATTTTTAAATGCAGGCAATTATTTCACCAATTTCTTGGCCTGGCACTTCTGCTGGGCCCTGTTCGCGGGACAGTGCTTCTGGTGGGATTTCCACGTTGCCAAGTCTCGTACTTGACACAGCGGAAATCACGCCTGCGCGGTCACATGACTCGGGGACCAGCGGCGAGCCACGCGGCCCGGCGATCGACCAGGTTATTGCACCCATGTCTGTTTGGTCACGTGACATGCGTCCTTGTTCTGCCACTCGTCTCGACGAGTTTGGCCATCCTATTGCGCATGTTTCTGCACACGTTGTCACGTGACCAGGTTTGTTTACCTCCTGGTAATAACAACCAGGTCGCTGATGCACACTGTGTAACACGTGACACAAACACGATGCTCTGGTGGTAAGCCCATCTGACACCCCACGCCTACCAGGTTCTCACACAAATGTGACACATGTACACAACCAAGAAACAGAAGAAAACCTTTTTGTTTAATGACTTCATCAAAAAACATCTCAATCTTGAAACTTTTGGGCAAAATTTAAAATGGCTGAAGAAATTTTCATTATTTCAAATTAAATTTATTGACAGAAGAAAGAATCCTAATTATACTGAAGAAGATCATAAAGTTTTTATGAGCTGGGACCGGGTAATGAGATTTGAACCTAGCAAAACAAAAACAAAAAAAAAAAAAAAAAACATTAGAGCAATGGAGTTAACCAATACGCTAATGTTTTTTTCATTTGGAATGGAATTAACCTGATATATATATTTATTATTTTTTTTTTTTAGGTGTCTACGCTTGGAGGCAAGTGCGCTCAATTAATTGGAACAATATCTCGGACCATCGGGAGATATCTGTATGGAAGAACTTTCAGCGGACGATTTGATGCATGTTCTCGGATCACCACAGGATGTGTGTATGCCAGGCGAACTTTCTCACCTCTCACCACTAGATATAGAGCAAGTGCTCGGAATTCCCGAGCAGGGTGGGCTCGACAACGCTCCCACAGTCGACGACCTCACATTAAGCAGGATTCTAGAGGCGGAATTTCATTTTTCGAGGTGCTGCCGTCCCTAACACCTGGGCGGCAACCGCTAATGACCTTTAGGCGATGGAAGGCCCGGAGGTGAATACGTCCAAATTCAAGACTGCTGACCAGGCCTCTTGAGTACGCCTCGTGCTCCAGGCGCTGAAGGCTGGATGAGCAGCACATAATACATTTTGAAAATGCCAAATCAATGTATGACGCCATATGCAGAATATTTGAAAGAGATGATGAACAATTAAGCTGTTACAAGAATTTGACACATAAATTTGATACAAATGTAGACCTTGAGGCCAACATAAGTAATTAAGGAAATTTGGCTTTCAAACTCAATAATCTAAAACAGAACTTTGATGACAAAATTGTTATTTTGGTCACAACTCCGGACAATGCTCCAGGGCTCCAAAGTGCTTCCACTGCGGTGAAGAAGGTCACGAGGGCCGTGCCTGTCCATCCCTAGCCAACCAGCACACCACCAAGTGTGCCAACTGCTGTGCCAAGGGCCTTCCGGACAAACAAGAGGCGAGAGCCTCTGGCTGCTCTTTCCTGAGGTCTAGGGCTCTCAAATTCTAAGCTTCCAGGACCTGCTGCCTTCACTGTCCTCACCTACTGGATTTCCTCCCCAGCCAAGACTCCTGCCACTCACTGCTCCCAGACGCTGTTCCCCTGCCATCTCTACGTTTCCTCCACCCCTGCGAGACATCTTTGCTTCCAGATCCTAGGGTCCCTTGCAACTGGAAATGGCGTTCTGCCATAGGGGTTTGAAGACCATGCTTTAAAAGGCCAATTAACCCGGAATAGAAAGAATCGCTCCTTTTCCAGGTTGGTGTCTTCCCACAATGCACCATCTGCAGGACACCTCTTGGAATGTATGGGAGCCTCAAGACAGGACTTATATTACAACCCTACCAAGATTATAAATTTAATCCATGAATTTTCAGTCTCCATGACCTTGTATAATCAGATCATCTCATCCGTTTCTCAGAGATCAGTTTCCAGCTAGCTCATGCTCTGGAAACACCTCTGCCTTTCTGCTCTCCCATCATGGATCCCTCCAAGCCTTTTCAACCCTCGGTGGACATTGCACCTCTGGTGGAGGAGGACATGGTATCTCCCACCACTACCAGATCCTGCACTCCCTCTGGCAGCTTTCCCTCAAATCCCTTCATCTGAACCTTGCCTGCTTCATTGAGCAGCGGACAGAGATGATCAAGTGCCTAGTTGGGGAGGTGAAGAACCTTGCGGACACCCTCAATAATTTCATTCAAGTCATTCATCAAGTTTAAAACATGAAAATATTGAAATAAATCTTTTTAGCGCAAAAATATATATATATATATAATAAAATAGATTATTTGGCATCAATTGATTCTTTATCATTTAAAAAATTAAAAATTCAATCTACTCTTGAAAATGGCATTTTTCGCCTCAAATTTGGGTGGAGGGTTTTGAAGTGGTTTGAAATTTTTTTGGTAAATCGATACGCAAAATGCCTTGGATTTCACAAGACAAAGACTTGTATTGCTGAAGGCCATAATTGCGCTAGATGTGGTGCTCATGGACACCTATCAAAGGACTGCCAGAGGGCAGCGAATTGCCTTAATTGTAAAAAAGCAAATGAAGTGAATCCAAATTTAGCAGTGGGGAGTTCAAACAGAGCTCCTGAGAAATTAGTCCAAAAATGTAGTTTTTCAAGATTTTAGTGGAAGAAATTTTCCAGCCATCCAACTAAAGCACCAAATAAGATAAGTTATTTTTCCTAGGCGCCATTAATGTTTACAACAAATTCATTCCAGATTATGCGTGCGTTAGAAATCCTCTAAATCAACTTTTGAAAAAGAACGTTAAATGGGAATGGACGTCAGACTGTCAAAAGGCGTTTGACAAACTCAAACAACTACTTTCATCAGGTCCCATTCTCCATCTTTATAAATCAGATTTGCCCTGTCAAGTGTACTCTGATGCATCTTTGCAAGGGATAGGAGGAGTACTGAAACAGCTCCATCTCTCCAGATGGAAACTCATATCCAGTACAATATTATAGCCGCACTCTGCACAAATACGAGCGCAATTATACCATCACCGAATTAGAGTGTCTGACCATAATTGAAACAGTAGATCGTTTCAAGGTCTATCTGGCGGGAAATTATTTTACCATTTTCACCGATCATTGCGCCTTACAGTGGCTTAAAAACATCAAAAATCCAACAGGAAGACTCTTTCGATGGAGTTTGAGATTGTCAGTCTACGACTATCAGGTGAAATACATCAAAGGCACCAAACAACTAGAGGCTGACCTTTTCCCCGAAATCCGTTTTGTGGCCTTCTTGACGCCACGCAATTAAAAATGTACCAAAGCGAGCTTCGGGATAATCCCAAGTATGTTCACCAAATCTCAGGCCTGACTACCGTCACCAGACGTGGTGTGAGCAAAATAGTTGTTCCGCCATCCTTACGACCCACCATACTTAGAGAAGCCCACCAGAAATTCAACCATTCAGGAATTTCTCAATTGACTAGAACGACACAAAGTGGGGAACTAATTTTTTTGCAGTACATAGAGCAAGAGCCTAGCTTCCCATCTAGTCAGTCTAGTCAAATCAGTTGGAATGTCTTCACAGAAAAAAACCAAGGCCGGCCGCGGTGGCCAAACCGACGAAGAGTGGGCCAAGACCCTCTCCAAGATGACCCCCACTGAGATCGTGGATCTAATAAAAAAAAACCCACGGAAGCCGAGGTGAAGGGCTTCGACGAGAACCCCGTGGCATGGATCGCGGCCTATGTCTCAAAGACCATGCCCGCCTATGCCATGGAGTTGGGGGCATATGGGGAGCTCCACCAGTACTCCGGCTTCGACCCCAACAAGGTGATCAAAGCCATGCTGGAGAAGTGTGGCGGAGACAGGGCCCAGCTCGCCGTTACACAAATATTTAATTTCTAATAAATATATAATTATATATTTAATATAATTATATTGATACGTGCTGTAAACATCTCAAAATTATTATTCTCATATTTAATTTTTCATAGAACTTTATTCCAATGATCATCATCACTTAGCATTGTTTTACATGACGACTTTGTAAAAATGAGACGTTGGTTAAAAATAAAAACTAACGAGACATACATTCTTGATTATTTATTTCCTTTACATTGAAAATAGCTATAAAAGAAAAACTTACATACATCCGCTTCAATATATTTTTCACAAATAAATCAGAAATTTCGATACTCTATTCAAAAATGTTTAGTCGTGTTTCTTCTAAAATATATATATGTCTCTCACACAGTCTCTCCCTCCAGGTCTCGGTGATAAGCATCCAAGTTTGTGTCATGGCCTCTACCTCTGTCCCGTGGGCTGTTCCCGATCACTCTGTGTTAACAATCCAGCCCTGCCTCTGCTTCTTGTTGTCCGTGTGTGGGAAGAACACCAACACTCGCCACTTCCTGCCCTACTCCCCCTCCTCAGTTGATATAGCTAGAAGCCTCAAGACATACGGTATCCACACCATATATAAGAACTCCTCCAACCTGCTCACATCCCTCCGTCACCCATATACTAAATCGCATGCCCCCCAGGATCCCCTCCATTCTGTTGGCGTGGTCTATTGTCTCGTGTGAGCAATGCTCTGCCACATACGTTGGCGAGACAGGTAGACCCATCGCCATCAGAATGTCTGAACATTCTCGAAACATCTCCAATCGAGACACCAGGTCCCTCCTTTATCAGCACATTCTCAATACTGGCCATCCTTTTAACACCAACCACCCCACTATACATTACAGACACATTCATAACCAGCACCAACGATTAGTTCTCGAGTCAATAGAATCCCACAGACAACAGTATTAACCGAAAATAGAACTTTCAGATGCATATCGTGCTCTCCTGGCCTTGCAGTAATAACTTCAACAAGATTGTCCTACTACAGGCTGAATCAAGAAGGTTTCGACCACCTTGTGGTTAACCACAAACTACATTTTAAAGACCCGGAAACGGGAGCAAATACGAATAATATCGAGGCCACCTGGGGCGCAGCAAAAAAATTACACGTGGGGAAAAGGAAAGCTAAAGATTCTCTTGAATTTTATCTTTCGGAGTATTGGTGGCGAAGGAAGCATTATGTGGATCCAAGAAAAAATAGAAACAGCGAAGCTTAAGCTTAGCATTTGTAATCTTAGTTTTTTATTAAGTAAAAATTAAAACATGTTGCTAAATATAATTAGTACTATATAATTGCATATTAGTACATATTTATTTGTGAAAATAAAATAATAATACGTAGCTAAATTATTGAGCACCATTGGAGCGTAACTTTGTCCTTATTTCTTTGTTTACGTTTACGCTAAATCACCAATATAATTTTTTTAAAAAATAATCTGGAGATATAATAAAAAGTTAAAAGCAATAAAAAGTACTTTATAAATATTAAAGTAACCAAAGGTATTTACAAATTACATATGAATTTATATTTAAAAAATATATATATCGACGAGTTGGATCCATCCAGCCAATCAGACAATTACCTGAGGTGAGGTTGGTGACGCGCGCAACGAACCAATCACAGCCTGTGTTTACATCGGGCGTCACACTGACGTCACGACCAATGGGAGGCCTAGTTCCATATCTGGCCAAAACCTACGGTGTCTCCCTTACTTGGGTTTTTGAGGTGGTCACATGAGCGGGTGTTTACATTTACATTGGCATATTCCCCTATAGTTTCAAACTCCAAGCATAAAAATTCCTTATTTATTTACTTAATATCTCTCTAATTATAAAATAGTCATAACTTATGCAAATCCTCATTTTCATAATTTTATTCCGCAAATATGTAAATAGTTGTATGTATATATTCATTTTAACCATTGTACCTGCATTATAGTACCAAGTTTGATGCTGAAATCACGCCTGTAGAAGGGTTTTTTGCCCGAAAGCTTGCTTTGATATATTTCTATTAAAAGAAACTCTTCTTCTTTTATTTTGTCTTTTCGTCTAAATTAAATATAATACTATAATAACTACTATATATTAAATACTATTAATGTTTTCTAAATAAATACATACATAGAAGCATTAATGTGTGAGTTACTGTTAAAATAAATGTGTTTCAGCAACCCTGGCAGTACAGAACAAAGGAATGTGATTAGCCCTAATGTTTACCTTTTAGTGTGTTGTAAATAATTCTCTGATTAATATGTTTGCAATTTTGGTAAAGATAATAAAATAAGATATTATCTTAATTTGTAGTATATTTATGTGTTAAATAAACTACAAAATAACAGATTATGAGACTGAAGTTTAAATAATAACTAAGAAATATCAAGAACGTGTTTAGTAAGTACAACTTGAAATATATTTTAAAATGAGCGTAATTAATTCTAATTTACCAATTTTGACTGGTACAAATTTCAACAGCTGGAAATTTAGAGTTAAACTATTGTTAGAATAAAAACAAATACATCTAACATTAGAAAAGGAAATTAATGATTTTGTCAATGAAAAAGAATGAGAGTTATTTGCAATTAAAGATGCAAAGGCAAAATCTACGCTTGTTCAATGTTTAACTGATAAACATCTAGACATAATTAAAGATGCCAAAACAGCTAAAGAAATGATGAAAGCGCTCAAAAATATATTTGAAAGAAAAAGCGTGTTTACAAAGCTAACACTAAAAAGAAAGTTGTTGACTTTAAAATGCAAACATAATGAAAAATTAGAGGACCATTTTCTTAAATTTGATTCTATAATTCGTGAATTGGATAATATAGGTTCCAAAATGGATGAATCTGACAAAATATGTCATCTGTTATTGTCATTGAATGAAGAGTATGAAAATGTAATCACAGCAATAGAAACAATAAATACTGAAATCAAAATGGAATTTGTTAAGGCAAGATTGCTGGATGAAGAACTCAAAAGGAAAAATAAACAAGGGGAACCTAGGAATGAAGAAATGACATTTGGATCATTCACATTTACATATTATAATTGTGGCAAGAAAGGTCACAAGGCTACAGAATGTAGAAATAAAAAGAGAAAAGAATCAAACACAAAAAGAGAGTAATGAAAGACAAAGAGAGAGTCAACCTAGACAACAAGCCTATCAGATGGATGGAAAACTATCATTTGTAGCAATGAATGCTATAGATTACTATGAAAATTATCATTTTATTTTAGACTCGGGAGCAACACAGAACCTGATCAAAAGTGAATTAGAAAAATATATGACAGATGTGAAGATTTTAGAACATAAAGAATGAACCGAACATTGATTGATAAAGTGAGAACAAAGTTGGCAGAAACAAATCTACCAAAATATCTCTGGGGAGAAGCCATTTACTGCTCAGCATACGAATTAAACAGAAGTCCAACAAGTGCGAACAATATATAAATATACTTACCGGTATTTTAAATACTCACAGAGAAAATCCATCTTACACGAAGACTTGCATTTATATATATAATTTTTTTTATTATTATATAAATATGATTTGGAGAAAGAATAAAATTCTGAACCCCTCATTGTTCACCCAAATGCTACGCCTACATTAAAACAAAATCGGCAGCGGCAACTAACGATTGAAACAATGAGGGCCACAGAAATAATTGCTTAGCTAAATCATTTTAAGAAACATGAAATGAAATGCCTACAAGTTGCTAAGGTGCCAAAAAAAAAAAAATCCATGGACCTTTCAAAACGTGCGACAAAAGAAAATGTCTGTGGTCAAATTTTATTAAAATAATAAAATCCTTTTAATTTTTTTTTTGCTTAAGTTATTTTTACCCTAAAATTTATTTTTAAGTTCAAGCTTAATTTTTTTTACCTTGTTGACGCTTTTATTTCTAAAATAATAATTTTTAATTGATATATGGAAATATATGGAAACTTAGATTATAAATAATAAAACAAACATTTAAAACAAACTTGAACCTAGAAGGATATTAAGACAGAAGAAGTCGAAATAATTTAAAATATTTTTATTTATTAATTTTTTGAGATTTAAAATGTTCTATGATTTAATGATTAATCTATATATATATATAAAATTGAATGTCTGTCTGTCTGTTTGTCTGTACTCTATAGATTCAAAAACCATACATCCAATCCCCGTGAAATTTTGGGATATTATTGGATATATCACCGGGAAGGTTTTTGAAAAATAATTTCCTGAATATCTTGAATATCCTTAGAGTTATTTGCAGATTTGTAGATTTAACTCGCAAGCAGCGCCCCCATTGTGACGATGTTAACAAGTTTTCTTATCACTAAGTTTGTTATCTTAAATATTATTTATCAAAAGTAAGATTATCTCAGGATGACACGGTAATGTGACACGGGAAAAAATGTTCACTAGATAAAACTATGATTTTCTAATGAAGAAAATTAGGAAAGACAAAATTCAGGATGACACGGCACACAGGGACCAGAAAAAATGTTCACTTTATCGAGAGATTCAAATTTACGAGTTTCAAATTATCAAAATATATGTTTTTTTTAAATAAATTTTTAGAGAATTGTTTTAACAAATGTTCGCTAGACAACCCTTTACTCAGGTAAAACCTCGGGCGAAGAAGGGGTACGTCCGCTAGTAAAAATATATTTGCAATGTAACAGAAGCATCTCTATATTTGTATAAGAGTGTATATGTGTAAGAATAACTACCAGCTCTATTAAAGAATAATAAATAAAACGATGCAACTTTGTCCTTCATTTCCGGCACTAATTAATGAAATATCAAAGAATAGGTATATAGCGATGGCGATATTTGGATTCCACAAGACTATATCCCGGAAAAAGGCCACACAGTGTTCTCCCCATCCATTGTGAACTGGCGAATCCTGTATAGGGCGAGAGGCCCTAAATAAAGGCTTTTTGTTGTTGTTGTTGTTGTAAAGAATAATAAATTGCTATCATCACTAATACTACCAAAATAAATCATACTCGTAAAACAATTTTAGATAAGTAAGCATTCTCTAGAGCAGAAAACTTAACTTTTGTAGGTTAAATAACGTCTGTTATTGTATGAAAAAATGAGAAATTTTGCTTTAACTGTTAATTGTGAGCAATTTTCATTCTCTTCAAGTCCAAAAAGTGGGTACTTATAGTCGCAGAAGCGAGAATTACAAATATATTTGTCTATAGTCCATGTAGAATCCTGAAACTGTATCAATTACCAAAAAAAAAACTGTCAAAGTAGGAAATAACCACTCATTTTTGTAGTGAAAATTTCGCTGGTTTCGTAATTTTTATATATTTTTTGTGAATTTTTCTTTAATAATTTTTATAATTAATTAATTTTTTTTAAGATACCTTTTTAATTTTTATTTTCATAGAGAGAAGAGTGATGATAGCCTTGGGGGGTGAGTCCAGCAAAACTGGGGGCGAGGAAGCGGGTTATTTTTTTTTAGTTAGAACTTCTTCCTGAGAAGCTGAGGACTGGGAGTTGCTGAGGGCACAGGCCGCTGGCTGCGGCCTTAGCCGCCCTCGTATCCTGGACTTGGGTGGCTGGATGTCGAGGTATGTGGGTGTTGGGGTACGTTTTTGTAATCATACCCAACAAAAGATGTATAGTGTCAACATCAATTAGATACATGGCTTCCCACCCATGAAGACTTATAGATTCTTTTTTGCCCAAAAACCTAGCCACTTGAAGGCACCAGACATCCATGCTGAGAGCTGACGCCTGGTGGAGATGAAGACACCAGACATCCATGCTGAGAGCTGATGCCTGGTGAAGATGAAGACACCAGTGACATCCAGAGACATCCGTGCTGCAAGCTGTTGTACTATATGTATATATATATGCCCCTCATTTAATATTTAGATAGAGGTGACTAAAAGTAATTATTAAATTTTAGCATCGATTTTAATATCCGGAAATTTATAATAAATTATATGATCTTAACAAGTCGAATATTTATAGTAGCCCCAGTTAAATTAGTATTTTTAAAAAAGATTTAGGAATAGAATAGAGAAAGATAATAATTTATCATGTAAAATTTTTGATCAATAATTTTAATAATACACGGACTATATATTATTTAATTTCTTAAAGAAATTAATTTGTTTTCTCAATCTACAATGTTTCCTTTTTTTTCTGCAACACTGTAAATGGAGAATCAATGAAAAACTTTAGCGCGAGCAGCGAATCAAAATGGAAAAAGGGCAAGGATAAAAGAGTTTTTTTTTTTCTTTTTAATGGGAGTCAGGCTCGAGACGTGGAAGGGAGGAGACCAGATTTTCTCCTGCGCTTTCGGAAAAAGGTAAGCCTCTTTGCCATTATGGCTTAGTCTTTCTTTTGAGTAGGAACTGACATAATTTTCGCATGGGCCCTAAAAGGGCTCTAAGGAACGTAATTATG